CCCCAAAACCCCAAAACCCCAAAACCCCAAAACCCCGATTTCTTCTTAACTTATTGAAATAAAATTTTTAAAATAAAATGAGTTATGCAGCAGATCACTTAGCCTGGCAACAAAGAGTTACTCAAGAGGACAGTGCTAGTAAAAGGTAGTCAATAATCCACTAAAATACCTTCTAAATACTCTCAAAAGCTCTATTTCTACCCCTTCATGCTCTGGATGTCAGTACAAAAATCTTGAGATTATATAACAACACTTTCAACTATCTAAGAATTTCCTTGGACTTCTTCACTACTCAAACCTTTCCCAATCAATTAAAAAATTGCTCACACCTATTTAGATTCTTATTCTGGAAGACACAGAGCGGGTTTGGCAGTCAGACTGACGAATTTTTCAGTGATTGGGCTAAACGGAATTATATGACTACAAACCAGGATAATCATTCTAAAATGCTGAAGAAGATGAACCCTGAGCTTTGGGATAGATTTGGAAACCAAATTCATCTAAACCAGAAATTCCACCCGAACATGACTGGACAGTACATGTACACTGGAAGGGAAGCTAAAACACCGAATAACATGACTAGAAAGCAGGAATATATCTCATTACAGGGCCCAGTGCAGCCAAAACCGCCTGCTTTCTTTGACCAAGCTTATCAAGGAAAGCCAGATTGGAGGAAGAAAGCATCCCTCTCTCAGACAAGGCCCTACAGTGCTTATAATGCTCATGATGATGCTCAAAGCTACATGAGCCATCAGAAGCTAAAAAGGAAACAGAACCACCAGAAAACCCTCGACCCTTCCAAAGCAATGATCAGGTCTAGAAGACTCAAGACTAGATCCAAAAAGAGGCAGGACGAGGATGAAGAAGAATGGGAAAGATTTAACGAAAAAGTCAGGTAAGTACCCAAAATTACACAAAATAGCTACAAATCTGGAGTCTCACAAAGATCCAGCAAGTTCTCCAATAGACTCCATTCAGCCAACAGAAACGCCAGACCAGGGAAATATCTCGGTTTGAGGGACAGAATGTCTAATGCTAAGGCTGCCAGTGAGCTCACTCAGCAGAACTTGAAAGATTTTGAGGAAAGACTTAGCTCCCAAGCAGGAGCTTCCAGAAGAAAAGATAAAATAATCTTCAGTGACAAAGATAAACAAGTCAAAGATTACGAAGAAAATAAAGAAGGCGAAGGCGACAAAGAAGAAGAACCCCTCAACCAAGAGGATCCCGATCAAGAAGGTGAAGGTGATGCTGATGCTGAAAAAGAAGAGGCAGAAAACGAAGAACTTATGTCAATCAAATCTAAATCTGAAGTCCAAACTATGTCTAAAGCGTCCAGAAAATCCTACGTCCTCTCCCTCAGAAAGCAGCTGCAGAAAGAAAGAGATGAGAGACGTAAACTAGAGGAACAAGTCAAAGAGATGATAGAGTCCAAGAGAGCTACTAGCCAAGAATAGTGCATGCTAAAATTAGAATAAAGACTAAATGTCAACTATTAATAGGGTAATCGGGGTTTTGGGGTTTTGGGGTTTTGGGGTTTTGGGGTTTTGGGGTTTTGGGG